GCTGTATTTTAAAGTATCGTATGTGATAAATAGGGTCATTTTTCTGAAGTGAACGTGCTGTATACATCTACTTTACTGTGAGCACTTAAAGGCAACACATGGGTTCAGTCTACTGACGTAGGAAAAGCTGGATGTTGCTGGAATCGTTATTATGCAAAGATTTAAATATATATATATATATATATATAAGCATAAATGAAAGACAATTAAACAAATACTTTAGAAGAGATTGGATAATTCTTGTATTTACTGTGAATTAGGAGATTAAGCCATTTTTGTATTTGTGATAAACAAAAAATCCATCCATAAGAGCATATTCCAAAAATAAAACCGGACACTTCAACCAAGAACTACAGCAATATGGCACCAAGTTAAAAATCTAACCCTGGATGAATTGAGTGGTTCATATTTTGTAGTTGTGACATTAAACCTTTGAAATTAAATGAATAAAAATGCAATACAAATGAACTGTTTATGCATCATTTGTATTCAAATGTATGTCACCTATTATCTGTATGTTCCCCTTTTTTTTTTTAAAGGTGTGCCCGTGATTTGAACTGTTTCGAGTTCATATCATGATAAAATGTGATGTTATGTTCATGTATATTTAAATACTTTATATAAGTGTTACTATGCAGTTCCTAATCTCAACACTTGATGGCCCCGTGAAAGACAGGCAAAGATCATTTCCTGTCTCCTGTGAGCTCAGTCTAGTGTATTTATATTGTAAATAACTAAATTAATATATCAGGGAAGATCACAAACATGCGTACAATACAAAAGGCAGAAAGCAAGGGCGTTTTTGTAAACGTTGGGCAACTTTAGATTTAAAATGTCAACACAGTTTGACGAACGTAATGGCTTTGTTATCAGATCTCGCGAGAGTTTGTCGACGAGACCAATTTGTCTCAAACAAAGACCCATTTTCTCCTGATTTATCCGTCTAAAAAATGCCATGCTAATGCCACAGTGTATGGAAGATATGTGTCATGTGAAATATGATTCATTTTGTGAGTATTGTTGGAAACAGTCTGTTATAAACACGTATTCACGTTCACTTCTCGCAGGGCTTCTTCTTCTGCTTTCTCGAGTTGTATGGCTGCTTGCATCCAGCTTAATGGCGAATTACCGCCATCTTTCTGTTGCCAAGTGAGGACCAGACGATACTCATAGTTCACATTCTACAGCCCTCACAATAACATTAAATGGATACAAAATAGAGAAATAACACCGTAAGTCCTATGAAAACCTCCCCGTACCTCTTTAACATAACATTGCCATCTCACATTATAATTTAAATGCGGCTTTTTCTCAGAAAGAGGCGGCGCTTACACTGGGCGGAACCCACGTGGTACCGTCACCGGATATTGCCTCTCAGTGCGGCCTTAAAGATCCATGCGCCTGTTCCATGCGGTCATTTCTAAGCCGTTTGTACGACCAGCGCCCGTGCCTCCTCCTGCAGCTCCTGCTTTTCAGATTCAATAGTCTCCTACTACTGAAAAGCTCAAAACGACTTAAATAACATGTCGGACGAAGGTAAACTCTTCATCGGTGGTCTCAGCTTCGACACCAACGAAGAATCTCTGTCTGCGGCCTTCTCCAAGTATGGAACCATCGAGAAGGTGGACGTGATCAGAGACAGAGAGACCGGGAATTCCCGCGGTTTCGGCTTCGTGAAGTACGACAACGCCGAGGATGCCAAAGACGCAATGGACGGCATGAACGGAACCTCCCTCGATGGCCGGTCAATCCGCGTCGACGAGGCAGGTAAAGGCGGTGGTCCTAGGGGTGGCGGCGGATCAAGAGGCGGGCGCGGAAGAGGCGGATATGGCGGTGAGAGAAGCTATGGCGGAGGAGACAGAAGCTATGGCGGCGGCGGCGGCGGAGGAGACAGAAGCTATGGCGGCGGCGGAGGAGACAGAAGCTATGGCGGCGGAGGAGGAGAAAGAAGCTATGGCGAAAGATCAAGCTACGGATCCGACAGTCGTTCCGGCGGCGGCGGTGGCTACAGATCCGGCGGAGGCAGCGGCGGATACTCACGAGGTGGTGGAGGAGGAGGAGGCGGCGGCGGCTACAGAGACAACAGAGGCAGTCGCGATGGCGGATACGAATAAAGCATTCTTCCCGCTGGCTTAAAAACAGTGGTTTAAATATAATTGTGTTGATATGGACTAAGTAAAAGTTGTGTTTTCCCAGCAAGCTCCATTCACGGTGACAGAGCGCCATAATACTTTGACTTTGATTTGATTTTGATAATAAACAGCCTCAGGCCTTGTGAGTCACAAATAGGTGAGTGTTTTTTTTATTGTTATCCGGGTAGCCATTGCAAGCAGATGAACTCGTCGCCTAGTGACACACAAGTGACTCCAGATAAACTCTTAACATGCTCTTTGATCCAGTTTCAACATTTTCTACTTACCTCTGCTTTTTGAGGGAGAATTCTCATAATGTCTGATCGAGAGGATAGATAGTCAGAGAGCAAAACAGTCACACTGAGAATATTCTGTGAATCCATTGGGCTAAATCCTTCGGTCAATTTCACGGAAATATAAGATTTTTTATTTTACCCCACACCATGTAACTAGTTAATGTATTTTGCCTGGGATATTTGTTGCAGGGTAAAATTGTCAATTTCCAGTTAAAGTATGTCTAAAGAAATCCACAATCAATCCTAAATCCTGCAATGATATCAACTCTGCTGTTCCCAGTCAGTGTAGAGTAAGTCCACACTGACTCTGTATGTGATCATAATAAAGGTTTACAATTTAATATTGAGTTTTCTTTTGGGTGGGATTTTAACTCTTAATTGAATGATGGGGTTGTAAGTAAAACCCCCTCGGACAAATGTGTAACTTCTGAGATTTGACTATAAAAACATTTAATTGATTAATACCTTATGTCTGCATTATGACGAAGCTCATTTAGAGCCGTAAATAAGTATAAATCCAATTCTGACTAGTCATGCTCAAATCTCATAAAAAAAACCTACATCTTTAGACTTTAAGGAACAGTACATTTCATTAAACCAGTTTACATTTTTCAGTGCACAATTTGTAGTGTCATGGCGGTGTTAGTCCGTGGCGGTTCTACGGGGTGGCAGCTGCCGCCTCAGAAAAATTCCTCGCTAAATGTAGGCAATTCATTTATTCATATATTTTTAATGTTGGTGACATTTCCATAGTTCGTGTAAAACGTTTTAACTCCCTTTGCTTTGAAATAAAAGTTGTGGCTCATCGGACCTTTGTGAGAGAAAATCTCTAATGTCCGAGTGCAAGTGAATGCAGCACAAGACGCGATCTTGTAACCCCTCCCCCGTTCCTGGCGCGAGCGAGGAAATGTGATTGGCGGCGATTTCATTTGAACGGGACAGCACAAAACGAGAAGCATCCGGACCCAAGTAGAAGGAAGGAATGAGGTATTTGAGGTTTACAGAGAAGAGACTGTCAAGTTTGGCTGTACTCAGCATTGAATCAAAACGCACTAAAGCTTTGGATCTTACTCAGTTTGTGAGGCGTTTTGCTGAACAAGATGGTAATCGCCGCATTCAGCTGTTATAGGCAAGGCGATTTTATGTATATAACACCTTTAAGTACGCGACAATTCAAAGTGCTTTACAAAAATAAGAAACAAAAGACATTTAAGAATAAATACAGCATAAACACATTAAATGGCATTTAAAAACAGGCATAAACAAGCAAATAAAATAAATCAACATAGCAGGTAAAGAATACACGAATAAAAGGCATACTGCAGTGTGAGTATAAACAGCTCAATTAAAAGCAGCAGCAAATATGTTTTTAGTCTGGTTTTGAAAATAGGAAGAGTCTCTGCGGACGTGCACGATTCAGGGCATAATATCTAAACGCTGCTTTCCATGTTTAGTTCTTATTCTTGGAACAGAGAGCAGACCCGTGTGTAAATGGTGTACTGATACTCCACTACATGTATTTAATACCTTTAGTTACTTTACAGATGTGGATGAATGATGTGAAATATAATCAAGTGTTAAATCAGACTTTAGTTCCACCTGGAGTAAATCCACCAGCTACCCTGCAGTATACAAAGCCATTCAAACTAGCTGCACCTTTACCAGCTTTGAGAACACTTTAATGATCAATCATTATAAAACATATCATATATATTATTCTGAAATGGACCAATCTGCACAATGACTACTATTACTGTCACTACTTTCACTATATTTTGATGAGAATACTTTTATACTTTTACTTGAGGAACATTTTGAATGCAGGACTTTTACTGTAACAGAGTATTCCTACACTCTGGTACTTCTACTTTTACTCAAAAACAAGATCTGAGTACTTCTACTTTTACTCAAGTACAAGATCTGAGTACTTCTACTTTTACTGAAGAACAAGATCTGAGTACTTCTACTTTTACTCCAGTACAAGATAAGAGCACTTCTACTTTTACTCTAGTATAAGATCTGAGACCCGACCCAGAGGACCCGAGACACCTTGATGGTTCATAGTTATGCAGGAGATTGTTGATATACTTTGGTCCTAAACCATTTAGTGATTTAAAAACTAGCAATAGTATTTTAAAATCAATTCTTTGGCCGACTGGAAGCCAGTGTAAAGATTTCAGAACCGGACTGATGTGACCCACTCTTTTAATGTGAGTGAGGACTCAGCAGCAGCTTTTTGATGGATGTCTTTGTCCGCCCTGTGAAGGCACCATTACAGTAGTCGAGTCTACTGAAGATGAAAGCATGGACAAGCTTTTCTAAATCCTGTTATAGGCATGCCAACTTGATGCTCTGCTCACAGATGAGCATAAACAACTGTTAGGATGATGACCTTGTATGTGT